GTCAACTTGACTGGGTCATAGGGTACCTAGATATTTGGTTAAATATTATTTCTAAGTGTCTCTGTGAAGGTGTTTCTGGGTGAGATTAGCTTTTGAATCTAGACTGTGCAAAGCAGACTGTCCTCCCCAATGCAGGTGGGCCTCATACAATCCTTTGAGGACCTAAACAGAACTAAAACGTGGAGGATGAGAAAATTTACTTTTTTTTTGCCTGACTGCATGAGATGGGACATCACTTTTCTGCCCTTAGACTGGGGCTTATACCATCAGCACTACTTGTTCTCAAACCATTTAACTCAGACTATAACTACGTTACCAGGTTTTCTGATTCTCCATCTTGCAGATGGCGGACCATGGGACTTCTCACCTTCCAGATAGATAGATAAACAATTCTATTGGCTCTATTTATCTGGAGAACTCTGACTAAAACATATGACTAAATCCTTATCATTTAAGCCTTCAAATGGTATTTCCTCAGAGAAGACTTTCCTATTCCTGCCTATCCTGGGAACTGCGAATACCTCAAGGTTCCAGGGAATAGTGAGTAGTAAAGGAGGCAGCTGGTTGGGGATTGCATGAAACCTGAGAATTCATGCTCTCTCTGAAGAAGTATGCGACTACTCAGTTCCAACTAATTTGTGCCATGTGGCACATCTCATTTATCAAGAAATATCATCTCAGTTATCAAGAAAAGCAAAAAATCTAAATTTTTATATAGAAATATCCTAAATGTAAAAAACTAGCAAGAAATGTAAAGTTTTAAAAGACACATTGGAGATCAAACAAAATATATTTCTGAGCCCAAGTCATCCCATATACCTCTACTTTGTAACCTCAGCTCTATCACATCATTTTGTTTATGACTGCCTGAGATTACATAATTTCCTATCTGTTTCCTTCTCATCAGAATTTAAACCCTATAGGGACCTTGGCTACCTGTTCACCTCTACATTTTCAAGGCTAAGAACAGTGTCCCAGAAATAGTGGTCACTTAAAAAAATTAGTATTATTGAAGTTTTGAAACATATGCTAAAAGTAGAGGTAATAGTATAATGAACCCCATGTGCTATTACCCAGATTCAACAATTATTAATATTGTGTCATTTTTGTTTCACCTATCTCTTCTACTGGCTTTTTACTTGAGCATTTTAAACAAATCCCAAACACTGTGTCACTTCAAACCATAAATATTTCCATATGCATGAAAACTTTTAAAAATCATAACCACTATGTTATTGCTCTAATAAAATTAACAGCAAGTCCTTAATATAATATAATACCAAGAACATATTAAAGTTTTCCCAACTGCCTTATATCTTAATAAATATTTGCTGAATAAATGATGAACAAATGAATATAAGTGTCTGACAGTAAACTTTCTAAAACCTTGAAATGTGAAACCTAATTATCCTTATTAGAAACTTTAGGATGACACGTCAGAAGAACCTTGGTTTTCAAACTTTTTAACACATTCCCTATATCTCTGTAGGTTTTCAAAATTTAAAAGGTGGAGGATTGGTTCAACGAGTACTTACTGTTTTAGTAATGCATATTAAACCTAAGAGTAAAATTCTGTATTGGATATTTACCCAAGAAAAAAGAAGATATGTCTTTGCACAGATACTTATACAATAATATAACAGATTGACTCAAAATAACTAAACACTAGAAACAACCCAAATATGTATCAATTACTGAATGGATAAACTGTGATATATTCATACAATGTAATGCTACTCAGCAATAAAAAAAATACACAAAAAGATGGATGAATCTTATAAACATTATGTTGAATAAAACAAGCCAGGCCCAAAAGTATATACTCTATGATCTCAATTATATAAAATTTGAGAGCAGGCAAAACTAATTTATAGTGAAAAGCTATCAGAATAGTGGTTGTCTATGGGGAGTGAAGTGAGGTGGGATTGACTGTAAATAAGGCACGACAGAACTTTCTGGGGTGATGGTAGTTTTAATAGGGGTTTAGTTACATGGATATGTACATTTTTTAAAACACATGGAATTGTACGCTTAAGATTATGCATGTTTTATATGTAAATTTTACCAAAACAGAATAAAATATTTAGGTAGGTGTCTTACTGATATCAGCTATTTACTTTGAAATGTATCAGAAAAATAAGATGCCTTGAGGAAAGATAAATAGATGTATGCATATGTGGACAGATATGTGATGAAGCAACATAGTAAAATGTTAGCAGTAGAATCCAGTTTTAAAATTTCCCCAATTGCCATACATCTTAATAAATATTTTCTGAATAAATTATGAACCAATGAATATAAGTATCTGACAGTAAACTTTCTAAATCCTTGAAATGTGAAATATAATCATCCTTATTAGACATATTAGGATGACAAATCAGAAGAAACTTGGTTCTTCAGGTATTTACTATACAATTCTTCCAGATTTGATGTGTTTAACATTTTTTAAAAATAAAATGTTGAGAAAAATCTCCATAGTGGTTTTCAGAAGATGAGAGGGGAAAACAAAGGGCTAGTTTGAAAACATATGTGACTTAGCCTTTCTGAGATACTTGCTGAACTGCCTCTCTAGCTGACTTTGGATGAACTGACCTCCACTTCCAGTTCTTGTGTAAACTGGTAGCTTTTTGGCCATATCAACAAGCATCTGCTTCTGGACCTCAGGTCTCTCTTCATTTTCATAGCGCTCCTTGTCTGTGTAGGACAAGTGGAACTGAAAGCAAAAGTGAAAGATAAGACTTTATTATCTAAGGTTAATAGAGAAGATTAAAGCCAACAATAATAACTACTTCAATGAAATTATTAGTTACCTACCCTTGAAGCTCAGGTATCCATTTGTCATATAATATTCTCTGGATAATTATCTCAATAATCTGGCTTTTATCTAAATTTCCAAAAGCATGAGATAGGTATATTGTTTTATAAAGAAAATAAAGCACAGAGATTAAGTACCTTGCCTAAGTTTGCACTTAATCAACTAACAAGTGACAATACCAGATCTCAAACTCATTTCATCTGATTTCAAGGCTTGTGCCCTTCCATTGATATGATGCTGCAATCAGATGTGAAACACATTTCTGCCAGGGCTCTGCTGATAATTAACCATGCTTACCAAATTGCAAGAATTTTCATAGGTGACACTGATAACACCCTTGGAGAAGTGAGATCAGACTGCTTGTAACATTATCTGCATATTCTAATCTCATAAATAAGTGGAAATTTAGATATTCTCACTTCTTGAACTGTTTTAGTCTGGTATGGAGCTTGTTGCCACAATAGTGCCACATTTTGCTAATCTTGCAAAAGATATGCCAATGATTTTCAAAAGCAATATGAACCTGAAAGCATTTATTCTATCTGTGCCAAAGGGTAGACTGAGGTGAAAAAAAGGATCTGTGGTCAGAATTTCTGAGTTTAAGTCTCATCTCTATCACTTCATAGAAAATCACTTTGCAGATCAGACATTCTCAACCTGTTTCTTCTTCTGTAAAGTAGAAGAAATAATGCCTACTTCATAATACTGGTGCAGAAGTGCTGACTAATAACAAGTAAATAAAAATCTCTTCAGGAAGCCTAATTTTTGAATTATTTAAAAATATTTGATATTGCCAAATGTTTTTAATTCTTCTAGTTGGTATGTTGCATTAGTCTATTCTTTCAAAGTGTATCATGTGTAGTGGTATTTTATTGTGATTTTATTTTGTATCCCTTTGATTACTAATGATATTGAGCACCTTTTCATGAGCTTATTGGCCATTTGGATACCCTCTTCTGAAATTCAAGTCTTTTGTTCATTAAAAAAATTGGGTTGTTTGTCTTTTTTT